AACTTGAGTTTATTTTAAGCATGTGAAGGTTGTTGAACATTTGATAATTGATTATAATCCACTGCACTAACAGAATTAAAGAGGAATATAGGGTTGTCTCAATAGATGGTAAAGAAATGTGATAAATTTAAACATCCACTCATGATGGGGGAAAAAAAAAAAAAAAAACTTCATGGGGCACCTGAGTGGCTCAGTGCATTGAACATCTGACTCTTGATTTCGGCTCAGGTCACGATCTCATGGTTTGTGGGATGGAGCCCTGTGTCGGACTCTGTGCTGAGCGTGGAGCCTGCTTAAGATTCTGTCCGTCTGTCTCGCTGTCTTTCTCTCTCACTCTCCTCCTTTGCCCCTCCCCCTGCTCTTTCTCTCTTCTCAAAATAAATATTAAAAAAAAAAAAAACTTCAGCAAACTAGGGAATAGAGGGATATTTTGTTAATCTGGTAAAGTGTATCTACAAAAAGTCTGCAGATTTCTTCAGACTTTATGGTGAACCGTTGAAAACTTTATTTTTGAAATCTGGAACAAGAAAAGGATGATAGACTCTTCTTTGGCTTTGAACTCAAGTTGTATTGGCCAGTGCCATATGGTTGGACAGGGTATGTAACAGTCACTGTTCACAGGTGATAGGTTTGTTTGTCTAAAGAATCCAAAAGTACCTACAGAAAAAGGATGAGAATTGACAATGAAGAAGAAAAGCTACCGGATAGAAGATTTAATATAGAAAAATCAAGTATGTGTTCATATTATAAGAAACAAAAATGAAAAAACATATACAGTAGCAAAATTGAACTCCCAAATATCTAGGAATAAGTCTGATAAAAATGAGTAAAGTCACAGTAAAAAAAAAAAAAGCCTTATATTCTTGAGAGAAATTCAAGAAGACTTGACCAAATGAAGAAATTATAATGTGCTCATGATTTTGACGCCTCTGTTATAATATCTCAATTAAAGGTATTGCCAGTATAATTTCAGAAATTGACCAACTGGTTTTAAAATCTGTATGGACAGAGAAAGACAGATACCATATGTTTTCACTCCTATGTGGATCCTGAGAAACTTAACAGAAGACCATGGGGGAGGGGAAGGGGGGAAAAAAAGGGTTAGAGAGGGAGCCAAAACATAAGAGACTTAAAAACTGAGAACAAACTGAGGGTTGATGAGGGGTGGGAGGGAGGAGAGCGTGGGTGAGGGGTATTGAGGAGGGCACCTGTTGGGATGAGCACCGGGTGTTGTATGGAAACCAATTTGACAATAAATTGCATATTAAAAAATAAATAAAATCTGTATGGAAACACAAAGGGCAATAGCCTAGATACTCTTAGGAGCAAGGTGGACTGTACTGTGTATCAAGATTTATTATAAAGTTACAATACATAATACAGTGTTGGTGTTTTTTTTTTTTTAATACAGTATGAATTTTCTTTTCTTTTCTTTTCTTTTTTTAAGTAGGCTCCACACCAAGTATGGAGTCCAATGCAGGCCTTGAATTTCATAACACTGGACTGGAGCTGAGATCAAGAGTCAAATTCTTAATTGACTGGGCCACCTGGGCGCCCCAATACAGTGCGATAGTAAAGCAAGGATAAACAAATAGATTAATAAAACAGAGAACTCAGAAATAGACCCAAGTATATATAGATATTATTTATGAGAATGATGGCACTATAGACTAATTGGAAAAGGATAGTCTTTTCAAGAAAATGTGCTAGAACAATTGGGTGTCCATGTGAGGTAAAGAGAAAAAGCTGTACCATCACAGACATTAATTCCTGGTAACTGTGGGCATAAATGTGAAAGAACAATAAAGCTTCTAAAAGTTAATACAGAAGGATATTTTGATGATCTTAGGATGGGGAAAGACCTCACTAACCATGAAAAGAAGACTGATCACTTGAGCTACATTAAAATGAATTCAGTCCGGTTAAATTTAGTTATACAACACCATTAAAGAACAAGGAGGTAAGCCACAGGATGGGAAAAGGTATTTGCTATAAATGTAACCACAAAGTAGAAATTGATTAATAAAATGAAAAAACACAATAGAAAAATAGTCTAGAAACTTCAAGTGTGCATCAAAAAAAAGTATAGACAATAAAAGCATTGTCCATAGAATTGGACAATAACATAAAAAAATAAATAAACTTTCCTAGTAATCAGGAGAATGCTAATTCAGATACTCGGCAAGTGCACCAGAATGGCTAAAATAAAAAACATTGGTAATAAGAAGTGCTAGAGAGGAAATGGATCAAAACAAATTCTTCTTCTCTTCTTTTGGGAATATGAATGTATGCAGTCCTTTTAGAAAATAGTATGTAATAAAGGAGTTCTTTTTGGATATTATCTTCTTTACCGAAAATCTTTTCCCTCAAGGAGTGCTCCTTTGTCCTGTTTCTTTATTTGGTACTATCTGTTTCACGTTAGCCTTCTCAAGTCTTTTTGGAACCTGCTTTGTCTATTCTTAACTGAAGTATGAAGCACTGAACATTTGAATTAGGAGCTTACATGTTCATGAACTGGGCTTCCCCACTGCAAGCTTCAGTTGGAAGTGATCACCTGAAGTGTCAACCTTTAGGAAGGTAGCCACATGTTGTTCTTGGAGACAAAGTTTACAAAAACCTGCAAGTTAGATCCCTGTTTGTTGTTGTTCTGCATATCATCTCCATCTTCTCTTTCTGGTTTTCTGCAGAGCTCTGTGTCTGAGTGTTAATTAAGTTTCTCTGGAGTTCTGTAAGGCAGATTTGCTATGGATCATATTCCCTTCTATGGACATTCTAAGCTGAGTATTTGATTGAGGGCCTGAGGTTTCCGAAAGTGAGTTTGTCGTGGACTTGGTAAGGCTGCTCGTCGTCCACTGTGTGCCAGACCTTGTATCGAACCTTTTATATGTATTGTGTTGTGCACACATCTGCTCCTCGATGCAGCTCTGCTAGATGGTGTCCTCCCCATTATGTAATTGAGGCTTATTTGATGGGACTTTCAAATTCCTAGTTATTGTTACTCAGTATTGCAGCTTGGGTACCAGTTGGGATGTATGTGCTTTTGGAGTTTTTAAAACAATCACGGTATAGTTCTTGAGTTTCTTCAAATCGGAGATGTGTTGTGAAAATGGGTGGCGACGGGTTGATGTTGACGAAAGGGGTAGATGAAGTACTATACGCCAAGGAACTAGGAAAGGATAAGGGGTTTTATTTCAATATGAAGGCACATTTCAGAATTGGGGATCTTGTAGACTAGATTAAGTGCTTCCAGGATCAGTCTGTGAGTCTTAACTTGGGGTAGAAAAGGTTTATCAAAATACCCTGATGGAAGGGGGCTTTCTCCCAGCTGTCTTTGCTTTGTATTTCACTTGTAAGATGTGGCAGTGTTAGTGAGCAGCTTAGTGAGAGAACGTGAAAAGCCACAGGAGTACAGAAGATTGAAGAAGTGCCTTAGCTTCCTGAGCCCTTAGAGCAGTGAATGCTCCATATCACTTGTATGTAATGATCTACTAATAGTAGGATCAAATGCAAGAGAAAAGTAGGAAGCTGTAAACATAAGAATTGGTACTTATTTGACTAAATAAATAAATACAAACCACTGTGGGTTTTGTGGAATTGATGCTATTCATGTTTGGGTTTGTTTTGTTTTTTTTTTTTTTTGTCTTCCATGCAGTTGACATGTGAATGAGGACATTTTACTTTTCATTATTCCGAGACCATCTGTGCTTCCCATTGGCCTTTGTACCAGAAGTTTCTGTGTGTGGGGGGGGAGTTTCTAGTGAGGGATGGCAATTATTTATACAGTTATCTTTATCACTGTCCTGTTTATTAAGGCTCCTGTCAAAACTAGTATAAGTTAACGTTAGAAATGAAAAAAAAAATAAGGGTACAGACATAAAATTGTGCACACAATATTATATACTCTCAAGACTGAAATCCTAAGGGGTGCCTGGGTGGCTCAGTCAGTTAAGCATTGACTTCGGCTCAGGTCATGATCTCCCGCCTCGTGGGTTCGAGGCCCGCATCAGGCTCTGTGCTAACAGCGCAGAGCCTGGAGCCTGCTTCAGATTTTGTCTCCCCCTCTCTCTCTGTCCCTCCCCCACTGGCGTGCATTCTTTCTCTCTCTGTCTGTCTCTCTCTCTTTCTCAAAGTAAATAAACATTAAAAAAAACATTTAAAAAAAGACTGAAATAGTACAGGGTGGAACCCAAATTTGGCCATCGCTGCTATGGCAGCCACCCCAAAACTGCAACTCTCTCTAAATAGTTGCTTTGGAGAAAGTATTACTTTTCTTGTTAGATAAATGAGAGCAGAATTTTTCCCAAGAATCTCTGTAAAAAATGCAATCACTATTTAACATGATGTACAACTCCCTGAATGCCGACATTACAGAGTTTTGTAGAAGGCATTTGTATTCATGGGTGACATCTAAGAGTTTGTCAAACTTTTTAATATACTGTACTCTGGTTTAAATGACATGTTGATGGACAGTTTAGTATAGCACCTGTTTACATAGATCGTGTTGTTCCTAATTTATAATTTGTGTTAATACATATGAAACTTCCTTGCTGAACAATGAGCTCTTGTAATTATACCCTTAAACTGTGCTAGAAATTCATAAGTACTCTAAGGCTTTATTTCATCTTAGTATTAAAAATATTTAACTTGAGGGACGCCTGGGTGGCTCAGTTGGTGGAGCGTCTGACCTGGGCTCAGGTCGTGATCTCACGGTTCATGGGTTCGAGGGCCTCCCCCCAAACACACACACACGTCGGGCTCTGTGCTGACAGCTCAGAGCCTGGAGCCTGTTTCGGATTCTGTGTCTCCTTCTCTCTCTGCTCCTTCCCTGTGTGCGTGTGTATGAGCACTTGCTAGCTCTCTCTCAAAAATAAATAAGCTTAAAAAAAATTTTTTTTTAAATATTTAACTTGACAAAGTAAAAATGTATTTTAAAATAATTGTAAGAGGTATAAATTCAAGCAAGTGAATAATATATGGTGACTTTTTTTTTTTCTTTCCAGTTTAATTTTGTTGGAAGAATCCTTGGACCTAGAGGACTTACTGCTAAACAACTTGAAGCAGAAACAGGATGTAAAATAATGGTCCGAGGCAAAGGCTCAATGAGGGATAAAAAGAAGGTAAGTCCAAGGGGGCAAGTCTTTATGTGATAATATACTTACATTTTTGCATTAAAGTACCCAGATCTTTCTTGCGTAAAGCACTGAAAATCATTTCATATCTTAAACCTTTGAACTTTTTAAAGGGGTTGTCACAATTTTTTCTTGTGGATTATCATGAGTTTTCATTTAGCCAACTAAGATATCAGTCAAGCCATCATGTTAACTTACTTTGGTATCTATAGTTGAAAAGCTGCCACATTGGAAATTAGTCACACCGTGATGTTATATATATAAAGACACATCATTAAAAGTTAAAAAAAAATCTAAAATGCTTCTTTTGATGAGATTTAAGTGAATGATGAAGTGATCTCCCAGATCGCTGGGAGAGCTACTAAACAGAAAAAGAAAGCTATAAGTAAATATATGATACTCATTTTGGTTTTCACCAACATTTTGTGTTGATTGTAGGTTTATTTGGCATTTTACTTTAAAGTATATTATTCCTGTTTTCTGTTTTTTGGGTTTTTTCCTTTTCTCCTTCCACCTCTTGTTCTGCTAGTTTAATTAATGAATACCTAACTATCTACTTTAAATACTATTTTTAGGAAGGTTTTCTTTGCCTAGTTTTCTGTTATCCAATGAAACTGTTAGTCTGGGTACTTTTGAATGTCTGTTTAAAAAAATGTTTTACTGATGTTTTAAAAAAATAACATTTTTAAAACATTTCACATATAAGCGAAATCACATGGTATTTGTCTTTGACTTTTTTCACTTAGTAAATATCTTCTAGGTCCATTCATCCGTGAAACTAATGTAAGACTATATGAGAATTATATTCAGTTTAAAAGGAAGAAAACCCTGATCCGATTGCCAAATACTAAATGTACTGTTGTGGAGGGTATTATTTTTTAAATATATTGCCTTGAAAGGACTCTCAAGTGATAGGCCTGTAGTCATATTATGTTGGAGTATGTGCATCGAACCACTTTGTGAAGCTTAAGGAACAAACACCAGATTTACGAGATATTCTGACTTCATTCTGATGTGCTTCTTTTCTGACCTGCCACCTCGTTTCATTTACTCTCCCGCTACCTGAATGCGTGGGAATCCTTGACTCTCCTTGGAGACAAATAATTACTTCATAGTTAAGTTGGGGGTGGGTGAAGTCCTCAATAATACTGATTATCTTTAAATTTTATTATATGTAACTGTTCTTGTCAGCTGAGTTTACAGATACTTTGAGGCAATTGTGTGAATTGTCCTTCAGAATATTTAAATGTTGTATTGAAAATAGTTTTCTGTGTTACAATCTTCAACAACACTTCAGCATATTTTTAGTTAGCTGAGTTGCAATCTTATATTGCCATGCAGTTTGGTTTTCCGTGTTTGCGCTTATCGTTGTATTGGCTTTGGCATTATTAAGCAATGCTAATTTAAGACCCATGGAACAATAAAACGAAATCGACAATTGATAGACAAATAAATCTTTACCAAAAGATTAGTGTACCTATCAGTTAAACAAGTTATTCTATAAATATGTGAAAAAATGTGTTTTCCCCTGTCCTGCCTCTGTTAATTCCCTACTAAGGGCCCTCCCCTTCTCCACTCATACACACAGAGACACCAAGGGTTCGAGCTTGGAAATTGTGTAATGAGACATCATGAATTCTATTTTTGATTCAGGTTGAAATTTGAGAACATATTCTGCTATTTTTGGCAGGAGAACAAAATGGTTAAGAGACTGAGCTTTGTGACCAGATTGCTTAGGTTCGAATCTTGGTTCTATCCGTTAGTAGCTTTGTGACCTTGGACAAATTACTTAATCTCCTCATGCTGTATAAAAATGGGAGTAGTAATAAGGTGATTGTGAGGATTAAATTAGTTGTAGTAAAGCACTTAGAACAGTGTTTTGGATCATAGTAAGTGATCGATTAATGTTAATGATTGTTCTTAATAAATGTTATCTTAACACCATTACAGTAGTGCCCCTTATTCATAGCTGGTACATCCTGAGACCCCCTTTGGAGCCTGAAAACGCAGATGGTACTGAACCCTATGTATATTCTGCCTTTTCCTGTACATACATACTGATGATAAGTTTAATTTATAAATTAGGCACAGAAGGGTATTATACTGTGCTCACCATTTTGCTGTTGTGATATGATAAAATGCCTACGTGATGAGATAAAGTGAGGTGAATGATGTAGAGATTGTGACGTTAGGCTACTATAGATCTTCTGATGATGAGATAAAAGGAGGATCATCTGCTTCCTGACTTCGGTTGCCCCGTGGATAGCTGAAGGGGCCGAAAGCAAAGCTGCAGATAAGGGGAGACGGCTGTAGTTGGATAGTGCATTTTTAAGCTTAAACTCATATGTTGCATCAAGGTGGAAGGAATGCCACGTTTTTTTAAGCTTTGGAAATGACAGATACTTCTTTGTAGTTTTGTAACCTTTGAGTATCCCATATTCTCATGGCTTTTCTGTTCTTTTTCCTCTGGTGGTTGGTGCATCCATATTCTGCATCGTCCACATTCTTAACCACAAGTAGAAGCAGTTTACATATTTTATTTATTTTTAATCTGTACTGTTGGCTACCAAAATAAAAAAAAAAAAGCTTATAGATTACACATAATGAATGCAAGGATAACAATAATAAAGGCACCAAAAGAATTTGGCTCCAGGTTATTATTTTAGTTTTATTAAAATGGTGCAGATGAACATACTTGAAATTAGTTTGAATGACTATCATATATTTGATACTGGTATGTGAAGCCTGTGGAGAACTTATGCACGGATTTATAATACCAGGAGTATCTTCTATAATTTTAATGTAAATCTACGTATAATTAATTGTTAACCAAATCATTTTGGTTTATACAGTAGTTACTGTATTCCTTTAGCTCTTAAAAATGTTAATAAAAGTAAAGTCAAAATGGAAAGTGCTGTCATTTATTGCTTGGCTATTATTTTGAGAAAATCTGACAAACAGATGGAGACAAAAAGTAGTATTGATGTAATACCCCTTTGTACTAGGCTGATTGAGGTGTATTTCAGGTGTTTCAAAGGGAGAGCCATTTGGCTTTAAGCTTTTCTGCAGAGTTACCAATTTATATAAAAGCCGAGAAAGCTAGAAAATTTTAATTTACTGGTTGCCTAAAATATTATGGAAATGCTGTTTGCTGATCTACATCCTTCACTAGACTGGTAAACTCAGTGAAGGCAAAACATGTCTTTTATGGAATACGTCCCTGGTGTTTGATGAGCACCTTGGTACAGAGTAGGACCTGGAAAAAAAAATCTGAGAAAGGAATGAATGTTTAGTTTAGGTAATAAGTGAAAGGCATAGATGTCCCCCCACCCCCACCCCCGACCCCACCACGTCCCCGTAAAAGAATTTGTAAATAGAGAAAATTGTAAACCCTATGTGCTTTTATGTTTTGGGGCAAGATCAGCAGTACCGTATCATCTAAGCTGCCGGTTTTAAGCAAGGGAGTGAATATGCCACTTTAATTTTTATTCTCTTGGATTGGTGTTATTGACAGGAATTCAAGTTATTGACAGGAATAACAGCATTGAGTTTTGCGTGTAAATACCCAGTGGGATGGTCCTGGGTAAACCTCATGGGACCTAAGAGCAGGCACTGTGGTGAGACTTCATGAGAGACCGTGACCAAAGCTTGGAAAGCTTGTCTGTTTCAGCCAGCATAGGGCAGTGCTTGTCTGTGGCAAGCCAGCTGTACCTCTGTCTCTGATTGAATGTATGGTGTCAGCAAGTGGAAACCACTAGTTTTATGGAAGTTCTTGGGATTTGTACAATATCAAGCATTATTCTCGGTATTTTACATGCATTTGTTTTAATTAATCTGAGGTTTCCCCCCCATAACTTCTACTTGTAAGTTTATTATTTTTTCTATCATTTTAATTTGTTTTACATTGTTGTGTTAGTTTGGGGTATATAGCATAGTGGTTCAGCAATACTGTAACATCACCAGGTGCTCATTACAGCAAATGCACTCCATAACCCTGATCCCCTGTTTAACCCAGTCCCCCACACCTCTCAGCTCTCTGGTAACGATCAATTTGTTTTCTGTAGTTAAGAGTCAGGCTCTTGGTTGCTCTCTCTCTTTTTCTCTTTGCTTGTTTGTTTTGTTTCTTAAATTCCATGTATGAGTGAAATTCTATGGTATTTTTCTTTCTCTGACTGATTTTTTTTTTTGCTTCCCATTATTGTCTTTAGCTCCATCCATGTCATTGCAAATGGCAAATTTTCATTCTTTTTTATGTCTGAATGATATTCTGTTATGCGTACATGTATACACACACATTATATAAAGTATATATTATGTGTGTGTATTGACACCATATCTTATTTTATCCATTCACCAATCAGTGGACACTTGGGTTGCTTCCATAATTTGGCTGTTGTAAATGATGCTACTGTAAACATAGGCGTGAATGTATCCCTTTGAAATAGTGTTTTTGTGTTCTTTGGGTTAGTACTCAGTAGTGAGATTGCTGGACCATAGGGTAGTTCTATTTTTAAGTTTTTGAGGGACCCCTGTACTGTTTCCACAACGGCTGCAGCAGTTTGCATTCCCAGCATCAGTGCAAGATGGTTCTTTTTTGTCACATCCTTGCCAACACCATTGTTTCCTGTGTGGTTGATTTTAGCCATTCTCACAGGTGTGAGATGATCTGAGTTTTATTGTTCCTATTTTGTAGATGAGGAAATTGAGGCTCAGGGAGGTTGAATAATTTACCAAAGGTCACATGCCAAAAAGTGGCAGTCCAGACTCAACCCACAGCCTGTATTCTATCCTGTGGTGTACTTCTTCCTAGCAGCTTCAGAAATAGTAGAATTCAAATATTGAGTACTTCTACGTATTGACTGTGAAGTTAATAGGAATATATTTTGTGACACTTCTAATCTTTTTGGTTTTTTCCTCAGGGATAATCTATTTTGAAATTTTGTTTTTATGTATCATTCCCCTGATTTTCAGAAACTCTTTAGGAAGGA